TTTAGCTGCAAGAGCCTTTACCCACTGAGCCATTTCACTGGTCCCCAAACCGGTGAGTTTTTTTTTAACAAATTATTTCTGCAGATTATCTGAGTTTATAAATCTTGACATACTCTTTCATCTTTTAAGGGAAAATGCTCAAATCTTTCTCCTTTTATGAAAGTGTCTCAGCTTTCATTACTTAAGGAACTTCTTGCTTCAAAGCTGATTAAATAAGCTTAACTCAATTTGAAGTCAGCCCAATGAACCAGATTTATGATTTGCCACAAAATAATTCTGATAAATATATTTTGGAAAACAACAGATTTTCTGAGATGGACTCACTGTGTTGCTCAGGCTCATCTGGAACTCATGACTGGCTCATGTACTTAAGTGATCCTCCTGCCTTGGTCTCCCTTGTACCTGGGGCTGTAGGCATGCATCTCCAAACCAGATTTAAATATTATTGCTGTTAAACTTTTTTTAGACAATGTAGCTAGGTTAGCCTCAAACTTGCTTTGTAGCCTAGGGTGACCTAGAACTCAGGATCTTCCTGCCTCAGCCTCCTCTTCCATGCTAGGATCACAGACATGTGCTAAAGCATCTTGCTTGATTTTTGTTTTTGGATATGGTCTCATGATGTAGCCCTGGCTGGCCTCCAACTCACAGAAACTCACCTCCTCTGCCCCTGAGTGCTGGGATCAAAGGTGTGTGCCACCATGGAGCCTGGTTGAAATACTCTTAGTCATCATTTGTCTAGCTACCAGGTTAGGCTATGCTGTCCAAAGAGTTTTCATTTCAGTAAGAGAAATAAGAAACTGCAATGTTTTCTGGATAAATTATCAAAAAAAAGTAAGGGAGGGAAACAAGGCAGGTTCTTAGGCTGCAGTCAGTCATTGTGTCCTGGGTTGAGATCTGGAAACAAGTGCATGTCATGCAGTCTATGAAACACCCAAAGAGCAGTGGTTGCTCCCTTACAGCCCAATCAGCCAACTTTGCTACGTATTCTTACTCTCACCACTGGACAAAGATCAGTTTTGCATTATTACTAAAAATCAACACTTGAGAGTTAACATTGAAAAGTAACAACATGACAATGCATAGCAAAGTATGACAAAACCTCCAATATCCACAAAACACAGTCATTTGAAACTGCAACAAGGGACTCAGGAGGGAAACTAAGTCTGTAGACCTCCCTGGAATCCGGCTCAGAGCAGTTCTGAAGTCCAAAGAGTGCAAAGTCTCCACATAAATAACATGAGCTGACACTGCTGAACCTGTGCCTTTAGCTTAACAATACTGTTTTAATCACAAAGTCCCACAACAGACAAGGGTAACGTACCACTGGAGAAGAGAGGGGCGCAGGTTACCATATAGGAACAGCTCATTTCTGTTACCCTGTTTCCTCTTTTTAACTTTGGGTATTACTGCATGCTGTTCTTGGCTAGGGAATGAGGATGCTTTTTTTTTTTTTTTTTTTTTTTTGAGACAGGGTCTCCCTGTAGTCCCAGCTGTCCTGGAACTCACTATGTAGACCAGGCTGGCCTCAAACTCCCAAAGATCTGCCTGCCTCTACCTCCCAGGTGCTAGGATTAAAGGCGTGCACTACCATGCCCTGCGAGGATGCATTTTAAAACACTAAACCAATCCAGGTGTGGTGGCGCATGCCTTTAATCCTAGCATTCTGGAGGCAGAGGCAGGTGTGGATCTCTGGGAGTTCCAGGGTAGCCAGGGCTAAAAAAAACAAACCAAACAAAAAACCAGCAAGCCAAGTGGTGTGGTAATGCACTCCTATAATCTCAGTAGAAGGCTGGGGCCAGCCTGGGACATAGTGAGTTCCAGGCCAGCCTGGGACATACGAACACCCTATCTCAAAAAGACAAGAACAGAGCTGGGCACGGTGGCACATGCCTGGAACCTCAGCACTGGAAAGTGGAGGCAGAAGGATGAGGTATTCAAAGTCATCCTCAGCTATAGTGAGTTGGATACCAGCTTGGGCTACCTGAGCTCTTGTCTCAAACACAAACAAAAACTAAGATTGCTCATTAACTTACCTTAATTTGGCACATTAAATGTTTTCATTAAAATATGATCAATGGAGGAAAATATGGTCACAGATAGACAATGGTGTCTTGGTATAAGTAAAAGCCACAAAATTAAAGTGACTGGGAAAGCCAGTATGGTGGTACATGCCTGCAATCCCAGCATGTAGCAGGCAAAGGCAGGACTGGGAGTTCCAGGCTGGTTTTGGCTACATGACACCTTGCACACAAACAAAACAAAAAACTCAAATAAAAAGTAAGAAGAAAACAGGCCAGCACAAAAGCACTCATTTATAAGAGAAACTTTATAAATTGCATTTATAAAATTGATGGTTTAAACATGGATTTTTCATTCTTTGGAAGTTTGCAATAAAGAAATATCATAGCTGGGCGTGGTGGCGCACGCCTTTAATCTCAACACTCGGGGAGGCAGAGGCAGGTGGATCTCTGTGAGTTCAAGGCCAGCCTGGTCTACATAGTGAGTTCCAGGACAGCCCGGGCTACAGGGAGACCCTGTCTCAAAAAGACAAAAAAAAAGTCCTAACTGCAAACGCCCAGAGCAGTTTTACTCACCTGCACTATCAGCAAACCACTCAAGTTTACTGGTCACATTCCTGTCCAGGGGTAACAGTTAGGCAGCAATATTTATTTAAGGTCAATTCCTAGACTTGTAGATCTGGTGTCTTTTAAAAACTCTCGGGTAAGATCAGCAGCCACTGTTTTTAGTTTTAATTTAAAAGAAGAAAAAAATTAACGCTCTTTCTGTTTTTTCGACAGTGGGAATTGAACTGAGGACCCAAGCCAAGTGGTTAGTAAAGCACTCACTCCAGTATTGAGCTGAGCTATGTCCTTAACCCAGAAGGCAAAAAATACACTTTTCAGAGTGTAAATACCATAGAAAAACTTACTTGGTACACAAAAATAAGATGCTTTAATTTGTTATATTCAATTATAATCTTACAAAGTCTAATTCCATTTTGTGGGGAGTAGTAGTGCTGGGATTGAACCCAGGGCCTTGTGCATCCATTTCCTTCAGCACATCCAAGCCTTGCTGGTGCTGATCTAAGTACACTGAGTTAAACAACGAGTCATTCAGTCCTAGTCTAAGCTGTGAAGAGCACCCCTAAGCTACTACACTGAAGGTCACCTTTGAAGGTGCAGACTACCTCTCCATAATGTCTTACAAAAGACAGGCTTCAAAGAATCTAACTGTGCAGACAGCCCAGGACCCTTCTGACAATTCTGTGCCTTAATCTTAATGATACAGTTTTAAGACCCATCCCAGAGCTAGACACAGTGTCTGTATCCTAGCACTTATTCTGGAGGCTAAGGCAGGAAAAGTGTTAACCAAGATCAGTTATTTTGGATTTGTATTTTTTTGTTCTTGTTTGTTTTGAGGCAGGGTGTCCCTGCAGCCCCAGCTGGCCTGGCACTCACTTTGTAGACCAGGCTGGCCTCCATCTCACAGAGATCCGCATGCCTTTGCCTCAGGTGTGCTGGGATAGGGATGTGCCACCATGCCCGGCTTTGTATTTTTTTAGAGGGTCTTGCTATGTAGCCCTGGCTGCCTGGAAAATTGAAATTTAAATAATTTTGAGTCTTCATGTATCAAGAGAAGTTATTCTGAATAAGAAAGGAATTTATTGTTTTCTGTAAGTTTTTGGTCATCTCCTTTTGTTCTTTTTCTTTTTTGGTTTCTTTGCAAGGGTACCAGATAACCAAAGCTGGTTCCAAATTTGCTATGTAGTTGGTGATGCTGGTATTACAGATGTGTGCCACCGTATCTGACTTCACTTTTCTGAAAACAATTTTTAAAAGCAAAAATCTAGCAGTAGCCTATAGGGAACATGCATTTTTGTCCTGAACAAAACATAAAATAGAAACTTGAAGCTAAATTTCTCATATAGTGTTTCCCTTAAGTATACTAGATAAACTTGGAAATGAAAAATACAGCTAATAACATGCAAGCTATCGTGGGCTTCCTACTGTCTCGGGCATTAAAATTGAGAGGGGGAGGCAACAAAATCCTTTGAAAGAATTTTCTGTTTTCTCTGGAATATACTTAATCTGTGAAAAATTCATCCTTTTGTTGTTGAGACCGGTCTCACTATGTAGTCCCGGCTACCCTCAAGCCTGCAGCAATCCTGTCTCTGCCTCTCTAGTGGTGGGATCATGGGTGTGATCAACCAGGTCACTTGAAAATTTATCTTACAGCTTTAAAAATCCTTAAATCAATGAAATCAGAATTGAGCCATGGTTTAATACAGCTTTTAATAATTGCAAATATCTGTATTCTTTCAGTTTAATGCAGTTTTCATCCCTATGTAGGAACTTCAAAAATTTCAAGTCTGGCTACTATGACATATGTAAAATGTATGAACCATGTGTCAGATGTCAGCATAGTAACCAACCACCTTGCTGCTAGCTGTTGGCTTTTTTAGACAGGGTCTCTCATGTAGCCCAGGCTGGACTGGAATTCACAATCCTCTTGCCTCCACTTTCCACGTACTGGTGTGTGCCACCATGCTCAGTTTAAACTAGCACCTTTCTAAATTGAAATATTTCTGAATAATTTAAACATCTCTTTTAAAAATTCTTATTGGAAACATTTTAGACATATACAAAAATGTGGTTATCAGAAATTATAGAGTGAATCTATTCATAAAATATAATTTATTTTGTTTTGAAACAGGGTCTTGCTAGATTAGCCCATGCTGGCCTTGAATTCCAGGACCCTTCTACCTTAGTGTTTTAGATTAAAAGCATATGCTAACAAGTCCAGCTTAAAATAAAACTTTTGTTTTGTTTGTGAGAAAGAGTCTCACTATGTGAGCCAGGCTGGCCTTTAAGTCTGAAGCCCAGGCTCATCTTAAACTTGTAATCCTCCTGCCTCAGTCTTCAAAGTACTGGGCTTACAGGCATTAACCACCTTTTTTTTTTTTTTTGTCTTTTTGGGACAGGGTGTCCCTGTAGCCCCAGATGGCCTGGAACTCACTATGTAGACCAGGGTGACTCAAAGATCTGCCTGCCTCTGCCTCCCCAGTCCTGGGATTAAAGGCCAGTGCCACAATGCCTGGCAAAACCATTTTCTTTTATTGATTCAACTAGAACCCTCCTATTTAAAATTAACAGCAGTAGATTTCTCCTTTTGCATTTATGGCAGTGAGGTGTGGACATACTTTTCTGACATGAAAACAGTGAAGATATACTTTTTTTTGAGATAAGGGCTCACTGTGTAGCCCAGGCTAGCCTTAAACTCATGGCAATCCTCCTGCTTCTACCTCCTGAGTGCTAAGATTATAGGTATGAGCCAATAAGCCTGGCAGATACACATATTTGACCAAAAGAAAATTAACTTATTCTTTTTGTTTTTTATGGTGCTGGGAATTGAATTCAAGGGTTCATATATGCTAAGCACATGTACTACCACGGGACTACACCCCCAATTAGGTTAACTTTTTTGGACAAAATTTCCTATTGTTAACTGTAGTTTAACAAAGAAGGTTAACACCGTGAATAGTCTCTATTCCATTCAACAAAAATGACTTTGTGACAGAAGGAATGAAAAAAAAGGCTAGTTTTAACCAAAGACTTTGAAAAAAATTCCCACTTTTACAACAACGTGGCATAGTATTTCAAAGAGGCTTTAACACAGAATGCTGTAATGTTTTATACTGTGGTATTGGGGACGTATTTCCAGAGCAGCCTGCAGTCTATGCAGAAATAGCAGCCCATGCTTCCAGTCAGAGATGGAGAACAAGTTCCCTGCTGCAGCAGAGAGGGCTCCGCAAAGACGGCCTGCTCCACTCTAAGAGCTCTACCACAGAATCAATTCCAATTCCTTTCAAACTCCGTTCTTTCATAGTTTCTCTATCATATTTCTCTGACAGCTATCCAGGCTCCAGAAAGACAGTAGCTTCTACAGAGACAGCACAGATTTCTACTCGCACAATGTAGGCGCCTTATGAAAGATAGGCAGAGAAGGAGGGCATTTTATACAGAAGCGGTGTAAAACTCACAACTGAGCAGTGCTGAAATCAAGTCCACAGCTCTGCTGAGGCTGCGAATTACTTGGAAGGGACTCTGAGAAAAGTCTGGCCTATGGGTTCGTGCAAAGTTATCATAAAACTGTAGAATGTCAAGCACAGGTAGGTTCAAACACTGAAAGATGTGGGAAGTTTCCTAAAAGACAACAATGAAGAGACCTTTCTTGCCTTATAAGTTAAAAATCACAAGACAAATCAGAGACTGTTCACATGGGCAGTACTGTACATTATCAATCCCAAACTGATCACATGACTCTCACCACAGACCCCACCCCCCAACACCATAGAGGGTAATATTCCAAATGAATCAACCACAAAAAGGATTCCTGACACTCAATTATCCAATTATCTATGGCTATCAATTTAGTCTGGCCTGGGGCTGCTTTTTACAGGGAGGTGGCCTCCCGTGGCGCACAATGTGTTTTTCTAAACTGTCCAGAATGGCCACAGCAATCTGTTGGACATGGGGGTCGGTCTGCTCATGTTCTTTGATGTTGTATAAATGCTGCAGTCCTCCTTCTTCAATAAGCATGCTGCAATACCTTGAAGCTGAAGGAAAATACAAGATTCTCAGAATATTTACATTATCCAACAAAAAATGAGGTCTTCAGAACTTAAAAAAAATTGTGTATACATGCCCATGCCACAGAAACCAGAGGAGAACATCAAGTAGGTGTCCTGTATCTCACTCTACCTCATTCCCTTGAGATGGAGTCACTGAGCCAGAAGCATATTGCTGTTTGGCTAGGCTGGTGGCCAGGGAGCCTCAGCCATCCTGTCTCTGGCCCCTAGTGCTGGGGATCCAAACTCAGGTCCTCGTCACTCTTACCCACTGAGCCATCTCCTAGTCTTTCAGAGCTTTTTGGATTAGACTTTAGCAGTTTTGATACACAAGTAACATGCTACTGCTTGATAAATACACCACAGTGATGTTATATCTATAGTACAAGGCCACACGTAAATAATAATCAAAAGTAAGTAAATATTTTTCATCCTAATCCTAAAACAGACTACCTAGAAAAGAAAAATGATCAGAATGACAAGTACTCTTCTAGGTATCTCACCCCAAATCACAGAGGTAAACACTGCCTGAATGTCTTCATTTCTTTTTTTTCTTTCATTTTCTGGAAAGGTTGTCTTGCCAGGCTAGCCTCAAACTCCCCAGTGCTGGGATTACAGCTGTGCACCACTATTCCTGGCTTTCTGCATGGTTTTTAATACAGTACTAGGAATCCAAAGCCAAGTATTCAAGCCTGCTAGGCAAACATTCTATCAGCTATAGCCCCAGGCTTCATTTAAAAAAAAATTCTTATGTGTATGCATGTATTTATTGCCTGCATGTATGTAAGTGCACCTGTGTCATGCAATGCCTGAGGAGGTCAGAAGAGGCCATCAGATCCCCTGGAACTGGAGTCACAGACAGTTGTTAACTGCCATGTGGGTGTTGGGATTTGAACCCAGGTCTTCTGCAAGAACAGCCAGTGTTCTTAACTGCTGAGCCATCTCTCCAGCCCTGGTTTTTGGTTTTTAAAAATATTTTATTATTTTTATTTTATGTATATGAATGTATTGCCTGCACATATGTATTGCCTCCATGATGTAAGTGTACCTGTATTGTGCAATGCCTGAGGAGGCCAGAAGAAGGCATTGGATCCCTCTGGAACTGGAGTTACAGATGGTTTTTAGATGCCATGTGAGTGCTGGGACTCAAACCTGGGACCTCTGCAAGAGCAGACAGTACTCTTAACAGCTGAGCCATCTCTCCAGTCCCAAAAGTTCTAACTTTCACTAGCAGTTAATAAAGTTATTCATGCAGAAGTATATACAGCAGAAGACTGCTCCTTTTAAAAAGCATTTGTTATTTTTGTGTATGAGTGTATTACCTGCATGTATGTAAGTGTATCCATGTTGTGCAGTGTCCACAGAGGTCAGAAGAGGGTTGTTGGATCCCTTGGAACTGGAGTTAAGGACAGTTATTAGCCACCATGTGGGTGCTGGGAATCGAATCCAGGTCTTCTGTAAGAGCAGCCGGTGTTCTTTACCACGGAGCCAGCTCTCCAGCCCTGGTGCACATTTTTAAACCCCTTTTAATCCCTGCACTTGGGAGCCAAAGGCAGGTGAATCTCTGTGAGATTAAGGCAAGAAGGGGCTACAGGGGTGGGGGAGAGGCTTTTAGGGTTGAAGATTTTGTGTTAGTGGGAAAGTGGTTGCCTTGCATGTTCTGGGTTGTAGGTTTGATTCCCAGTACTAAAAAAAACCCAGGCATGCTGATACATGCCTATAATCTCAGCACTCAGAAGCCTGAGGAAAGAGGACTGTTATGAGTTTGAGGCCAGCCTGAGCTATACAGTGAGTTTTAGGCCAGTTTGCTGCCAGGTCTACATAGGAAAAACCCTTTCTAAAACCCCTCCCCCCAGAGAGGACTTTTCCTGTGAAAGGAACAAGAAAACTATAGTTCTACTTTTTGGTACATACGATTCTTGCTGCAGACATGTTGCATGGCCCAAACTGCCCACAGCTGGACTCCTGGTGTTGTAAAACAGCCAAGTAGAGGAAAAAATGGATTAAAGGACCTAAAGATTCAGAAGAAAAAAAAAATCAAAGTTACATGCATAGTATCATTTTTTGGTCTTTTTGTGACAGGGTCTCCTTGTAGCCCCAGCTGGCCTGGAACTCATTATGTAGACCAGGCTGGCCTTGAACTCACAGAGATCCTCCTGCCTCTGCCTCCCGAGTGCTGGGATTAAAGGCGTACACCACCACGCCCGGCTTGCATAGTATCATTTTCTAAGCAGTGATTCTCAAACTTTCATTTAAGAAAATACATGTTATTTCCAGATTAATATAAAGGAGCAATAGAACAGCTTTTCTTTGTCATGGCCATTTTAGAAGAGATGGTATTTAGACATGTCTAGGTACATGAGAGGCGTTTAAAATACTGCACTAAAAGAGAGAAACAGGGACTGGAGAGATGGCTCAGCGGTTAAGAGCACTGACAGCTCTTGGAAAGGACCTGGGTTCGATTCCCAGCACCCACATGGCGGCTATGAACCATCCTTAACTCCAGTTCTAGAGGAATCCAACGTCCTCTTCTGACCTCCGCGGCACTGCATGACATGGGTGCACTCACGTACACGCAGGCAATACGTAAATTTTAAAATATATATTTTAAAAAAATAGAGAGAGAGAGACAGCAGAACCTCTTTTATCTACCTCTTTTGTAAGCACGCTTTCCCTAACACTCTGGGCCTCTCTAACACCGGGCTTCCTTACTCTCTTCTCTACAGCTCTCCTCCCCACCATGGGGCTGCTGGTCTGCCATGTGTCTGACTTCCATGTCTTAAAAATCATACAGCTTTTTTTCGGTCTCTCCTCCATTCTTCTCCTCTGGGCAGCTGCTGAGATTTACAGCTTGCCCACCTGGGAGTTTTTCTTTTAAACGCTAATAAAATTATCTTCAATTTTCAGTAAAATAAAATAAAACACTGTACTAAAAGAGAAAAAAAATTCTTTCAAAAGGTTTTGGGGTTTTTGTGTGTGTATGTGTCTTAAAAGATACACATTTGTTTTTCTCTGATATTTGAAAAAGTAGACTTTAATATTACAAGAGGTAAAGGTTACCATACATTAATACAATTATTCACCAAGGAAATAACAACTGCACATATGTATGAAGCAAAGCAAAGGTTGGGGCTGCTAGTTTCATAAAACAACCACAGTCTAAGTTCATAAGACTTTGTACCAAAAATGAAAAATCTGCCTGGCCATGGTGATGCCTGCCTTTAATCCTACCACTCAGAAGCAGAGGCAGGCAGATCTCTCTGTAAGTTTGAGGCCAGCTTGATCTACCCAGCAAGTCCAGGCCAGCTAGGGCTACATCGTGAGACCCCATCTCATAAAATAATAATAAGGGGCTGGAGCGATGGCTTAGTGATTAAGAGTACTGGCTGCTCTTGCAGAGAACCAGAGTTTGGTTCCCAGAATCCACATGGCAGCTAACAACCATCTCTAACCCCAGTTCCACAGGATCTGAAATCCTCTCCTAGCTTCCTCAGGCATTGCATACACATGGTGCACTTATATACATTCAGGCAAAACATTCATATACATTAAGAAAGAAAAGGAAAGAAAGAGGAAGGAAGGAAGGAAGGAAGGAAGGAAGGAAGGGAACGAAAGAAGAAAGAACGAATGAACGGACAAAAGACCCTGAACAGTTAAAGCAATATAAGCAGAAAGAGCAATGCTGGAGATATCAGAATATTTGACCTCAACTATACTACACAGCCATAAAAACAAAACAGCAGTGTTGGCACAAAACCAGACATGCTGACTGAGAGAATAAAACAATGGACCCAGAAATAAACCAACAAAGCTATAACCACCCAATCTTTGACAATGGTGTCAAAACCATACATTAGAAAAAAGGTCTCTTCAAAAAATGGTGCTGGGGCCAGGTGTGGTGGTACACGCCTTTAATCCCAGCACTTGGGAGGCAGAGGCAGGTGGATCTCTGTGAATTCAAGGCCAGCCTGGTCTACATAGTGAGTTCTAGGACAGCTGGGGCTACAGGGAGACCCTGTCTCAAAAAGACTCCCCCCCCCAAAAAAAAATGGTGTTGGGAAAACTGGATGTCCATATGCAAAAGAATGACATCAGAATTGAGATGGCTCAGTGTTTAGTGTTCGACAGTAGACCTGATGACTTGAGTTTAATCCCCATGAGTTTGATCCCTGGGACACACAAGGTGGAAGGAGAGAACTGACTCACAAGCTCTCCTCCACACATGTACTGTGGCATACACAGACAGGCACACACAATAAATATAAAATATAAAAAATAATGGCTGGGCGTGGTAGTGCATGCCTTTAATCCCACTACTTAAGAGGCAGAGGCAGACCGATGTCTGTGAGTTCAAGGCCAGCATGGTCTATGTAGTAAGTTCAAGGCCAGCTGTGGCTACAGGAAGACCGTCTCAAAAAGACCTGTGTGTATATGTGTGTGTGTGTGTGTATGTTGTTTTTCTAAATTTTTTTAAAATTTATTTTTATTTTATGAAGTGCTTTGCCTGCATGTACGTAAGTGTACCTGTGTCATGTGATGCCTGTGGAGGCCTGAAGAGGGCAGCAAATCTTCCGGAACTGGAGTTACAGACGGTTGTGCTGCCAATACAAAATCCAGGTCCTCCGCAAAAACAGCCAGTGCTCTTAACCTGTTGAGCCATCTCTCCAGCCTTCCTGCCCTAAATAAATTTTTTTTTAAAAGCTTCTGCACAGCAAAGAAAACAATCAGTGCAGCAAAGGGACAGCCTACAGAATGGGAGGCAATTTTTGCTAGTTATACATCTGTCACAGTTAGCATCAGTTGTCTATTTGACTCAAATCTAGAGTCACCTGGGAAGAGGGGACCCTCACCTGAAGAACTGCCTTGATCAGGCTGGCCTGTGGCCATGTCTGTGAGGCATTTTCTCCTCCCCCTACCTCTTTCTTTTTTTTTTTGAGACAGGGTCTCACTATGAAACCCTGGATAGCCTGTAACCTACTATGCAGAGCAATCTGGTCTTGAACTCACAGAAAAACACCTGCCTCTGCCTCTGGAGTGCTGGGATTAAAGGCATGCACCACCAGGCCAGGCTGTGAGATATTTTCTTAACTGATAATTGATGTAGGAGGGCCTATTCCCCTGTTGGTGGTAACATCCCTAGGGAGGTGGGCCTGGGCTATATAAGAAAGGTCAATGAACCTGAGCCTGGGAGGTAGCTAGTAATCAGCTTTCCTCCATCACCTGGCTCATTTCCTGCCTTTCAGGTTCCTGCCTCCACTTCCTTCAATGATGGACTGTCAGTTCTAAGATGAAATGAACTCTTTCCTCCTTAAGGTCATGGTGTTTGCCACAGCAACAGAGAAGTAAACTAGAACAGGGGGATTAATATAGAGTTTATGAAACCTCCCAAAATTAAACACCAAGTAAAGGAAATAATCCAATCAGTAAACGAGCTGATGAAATGGACAGCTCTTTTCTTTTTCCTCTTTCTTTTCTCCCTTCCCCCTCTTTTCTGTCATGAGACATGACCTCATGTAGCCCAGGCTGACCTCAGATTTGCTATGTGGCCGAGAATGACCTGATTCTCCTGCCTCCACCTCCCTAGTGCTGGGATAACAGGTGTGTACCACCACGCCTGGTTTTATGTGTTGCTTCACATACACTAGGAAAGCATTCTACCAAGTGAGCCACACCACCAGACCCAGAATAGACAGTTGTCAAAGGAAGAATTATAAATGGACAATAGATATTTGAAAATGTATTTAACATTCTTAGCCAATGGGAAATGCAAATTAAAACTACACTTAAAGGCTGAAGAGATGGTTCAGTGGTTAAGAGCACTGGCTACTCATGCAGAGGACCCAAGTTTGGTTCTTAGCATCCAGAGGGCAGCTAACAACTGTCCTGACCCCAGTAGCAGGGGATCCAGTGCCCTCATCTGGCCTCCTCGGGCACTGCATACATAGTACACTTACATTCATGCAGGCAAAATACTCATACACATTAAAAACCCTCCATTTAACCATTTTAAGGGGCTAGAGAGATGGCTCAGTGGTTAAGGACACTTGCTCTCGCAGAGGAACCAAATTCAGTTCCCAGCACACACATTTGGTGGATCACAACTGCCTATAACTCCAGTTCTAGGGAATCCAACACCCTTTTCTGGACTCCACAGGAACCTACACACATGGTGCACACACAGATAAACAAGCACACACATACACATAAAATAAATAAATCTCTAGAAGCAAAAAACAAAAGGAAAGAAGAAATTCCAATATATAAAGTATACAAAAACCAACTGAACAAACACCACAATTAAGTTAAGTTGCCTATGATAGCCCACACCTGTAATCTCAGCACTAGGGAAGTAGAGGAAGGAGGATTTTCTTTTTTCAGAAAGGGTCTCACTAGTTCTGGCTGTCGTAGAACTTGCTATGTAGATTGTGTGAGAGAGAGTGAGTGAGCGAGCAAGAGAGAAAGAGAAGAGGTGTGTACATGCCCCAGTAAGTGTAGAGAAGTCAGAGGACAACTTTCAGGAGTCTGTTCTCTCTTTCCACTGTGGCTTCCAGGGATTTCCCCTTCTCCCCCCACCACCTGATGAGCCATCTCACTCACCTCTGTCTCTTGAGTTCTGGGACTATAGCTGTGAGTTACTGCATTGGACCTTAAGATACACATTTTCAACAGCTTGATTTAAAAACTAAGAAACAGAGAAGCTAGGTGATAACTAACTGGTAGAGCACCATGGAGAAAGTCTAGAATGGGTCTGTTTGTACTGGTCTAAACAAAAATGAGTTAAAGAAAGTAAGGAAGTGGGGTTCAGCAGTTAAGAACACTGGTTGTGGGACTGGAGAGATGGCTCAGTTAAGAGCACTGACTGCTCTTGCAGAGGACCTGGGTTCGATTCCCAGCACCCACATGGCCACTACGAACCATCCTTAACTCTAGTTTCAGGGGAATCCGAAGCCCTCTTTTGACCTCCGTGGCATTGCGCAACATGGGTGCACTCATACATGCAGGCAATACACTTATATACATAAAATAAAAATAGATAAAATATTTTTTTAAAAAAAGGAACACTGGTTGTTCTTGCAGAAGACCTGGGTTCGAATCCCAGCACCCACATGGCAGTTAACAACTGTCCATAACTCTAGTCCCAGGGGCTCTGACAGCCTCTTCTGACCTCTGCAGGCATTGCACAACACGGGTGCACTTACCTACATGCAGGCAATACACGCATACACATAAAATAAAAATAATAAATAAAAGTTAAAAAAAAGAAAATGAAAAAGTAAAAAATGTCAGCACCCGCATTATGAAGCAGCCAATAAAAATAAGGTATAGACCAGGTATGGTAGCACAAGGCTTTGATCCCAGCACTCAGGAGGCAGAAGCAGGCAGATGTCTGTGAGATTGAAGCCAGCTACATAGTGAGCTCCAGGCCAGCTGGGGCTACACGGAGACCCTGCCTCAAAAAAAAAAAAAAAAAAAAAATCAACAACATTTCAAGAGCAGAGAACAAACTTCCGGGGCTTGCCTTCAACAAATGTGGGATAAAGGAGGGAATGATGACTGAATAGTAGGTGGGAGAAAGTAAGTCAGAATACTTCTTCTCCCCTTGATCAGGGCCTTCTTCTGTAGCCCAGGCTGGCTGCAATCCTGCCTCAGCCTCCTGAGTGCTGGGATCAAAGGCATGCACCACAGTAAGTAGCTACTTTACTTCATTCAAAGCCAGTACTACTAAGAGATTCATGAAGGAAAGAGTATAAGAAAAATGACCAAGGTACTTAGTCATCCTAATTACCTGTATGCTACCATTTCACACTCTGGAGTTGGCCATTTCAAAATAGCTGAATGCTAGAAGACATAAGACACAGAATATATTACAGTATTTTTTAATCACATTATTTCATTATGAGGCTTTAATGGTTTAACCATCACGCAGGCAGTTTATATTGTTCCAGAACACACCAAATGACCCTACCAAATCATCAAGAAGAGAATTCCTCTGACTACGGCTCAATGTCCAAGCTTGTTCACCTCTGGATATCAAATGGGCAATAATTCCAGCTGCAAAGTAACTGACTTCCACTTCAACACTGTGTAGAAGACCACTGATGTGATCTATAAAGTCCTTCCACATTAATTCAGAATGCAGTTCTTGGACTTCAGCTATATTGTTCTGGAAAAAAAAGTATGAACATTAAAGTCATATCTATAGGAAAAGGCTAAGAGAACTATATTCAGACTCTGCAAAACAAACAGTACATGGTGATCTCTGGGAGAAGGGTATGCAATTTGGGCAGTTTCAAGATTGCAATGAAGTCAAGGGGAACCCAAAGAAAACCAGAGTTTGATTAAATAAAGGAGGTAGAAATCACAGCTCAGGGTATACAAGCTATAAAACCGTATACAACTGAGTATTGGAAAGAGAAAAGCTCCAGAAAGGGACAGAGAGAGAGCTGTACACACAGATGCATATTCCTGTATAGAGGTCTCTTCAAATGGTTGCCTGAATAATGATGTGATGTGACAGGACAGGACAGCACATGATGTGATGTGACAGGACAGGACAGCACATGATGTGATGCGACAGGACAGGACAGCACATGATGTGATGCGACAGGACAAGACAGCATATGATGTGATGTGTGACAAGTAGGACAGCACATGATGTGGTGTGACAGGATAGGACCTGACATGACGTGGGTTAAGTTTCCACAAGGTTAGGGAAAAAAACCCCAGCAACCCAGGAAGCAGTATACCAACATCAAAGTCACAAAGGCCTAGAAATAGTTGATGTTTCCACCAGTCAGGGTGAGGAGATGGCATAATAAACAAAGCATTTGACAGCAGTAAGTAGTAGCCATAGAGTAAAGGCTGATCTGACACCATTTAGCAAAGCAAATAAATAAACTTCAAAAGGAGCACTCGGGGTGGAGGGCATAGCTCAATTGTAAAGCAAATGATTATCTGATGTGCAGGTAACTTAACAACATACCAGTATAAAGTACAAGATTCTTCAAAGGAAAATAACAAAATCTAGTAATCAATAATATACATTTCCCAATGACTGGCATCAAATAAAGAGCAGCAGAAGAAAATAAAAATGAAACAAGCAAAATAAAAAAAAATAAGTAAAGTTAACAAGCATACAAAGGGGCAGAACACGGGTGCACTTACATATATGCAGGCAATACACTCATATACATAAAATAAAAATAATAAATTAAAAAAATTAATCTTTAAAAAAAAGAAAGATTATCTTCTTGAAGAGAGACTCTAGATAGGCTGACTCAATTCTGGTGGATGAACTTGTACTGAGGGACATCTCAGGACACTAACTTTACATAGTAGGCCTTAATACAAATGACAGAATGTATGAACTCCAGTGGGAGGGACTGTGGGAGGCGCCAAAGGGGGAGAGGGAAGGGGATATAAAGATGATTTTATGTATAAAATACACAAAAATCCAAAAAAAAATTAAAAAAAAAAAAGAAAAACCCAGGCTGGGAGTAGTGGCACATGCCTTTAACCCCAGTACTGGGGAGGCAGGGGTGGATCTCTGTGAGATTGAGGCCAACAAGTCTGTACAGGAAGTTCCAAGTGAAGTGGGGCTACAGGGTGGCCGTCTCAACAGACCCACAAAGAAAGAAGCAAAACACACACACACACACACACACACACACACACACACACACACACACCACCCAAAACAAAACCAAAAAAGACCCTTCTGCCAGCATTGCATACACAGGTGCACTTACATATAGGTAGGAAAAACACATAAAATTAAAATAACTTTTTTAAAAATTTCATTTATTTATTTTTATATGTATGTTTTGCCTGATTGTACGGGCACCATGTGCATGCAGTACCTATAGAGGCCAGAAGAGGTGTTGGATTCATGGAACTGGAGTTACAGACAGTTGCTAGCCTCTATGTGGGTGTTGGATCCCCTGGAATTGGAGCAATGGACAGTTGTTAACTGCCATGTGGGCGCTGAGAACTAAACCTGGGTCCTCTGTAAGAAGAGCCATCTCTACAGCCCCCTTTTTCCTTTTAGAATCAAGGTCTTATGTAACCTAGGCTAGCCTTGAACTGTGCATCTGAGGATTATCTTGAACTTCTGATCCTCCTGCTTCCACCCTCCACCTCCTAAGTGATGGAATTACAGGAATGTGTCACCACATCTAATTTTGTGTGGTGCCCAGGGTTTCATGCATACCAGGCAAGCATTCTACCAACTAAGCTACATTCCCAGTCCTAGCAGCAACTTTCTTTTTTTAAAGAATTTTATTTTATTGCTGGGTGTGGTGGTGCATGCCTTTAATCCTCGCACTCGGGAGGCAGAGGCAGGCAGATCTCTGTGAGTTCAAGGCCAGCCTGGTCTACATAGTGAGTTCCAGGACAGCTGGGGCTATAGGGAGACCCTGTCTCAAAAAAGACCAAAACAAAAAATTTTAATTTTATTTTATGTGTATACATGTATTGCCTGCATGTAGGTAAGTGCACCCGTGTGGTGCAGTGCCCGCGGAGGATAGAAGAGGCTGTGGGATCCCCTGGAACTGGAGTTACGGACAGCTGTTAGCTGCCATGTGGATGCTGGGATTCAAACCTGGGTCTTCTGCAAGAACAGCCAGTATTCTTAACCACTGCGCCATCTCTCCAGCCCCGTGCAACTTCTTTTGATAACATCATACATAGATTGTATTTATACAAGAAAATTGTTTTTGAGCATGGAGTAATGATCTCTAACCGAAGTCTGTTTTTCACGAGGTCTCTGAAGGTGATGAATTTATGAATGGAAACCATAGAGGATGTTAGACTCTCCTCCC